ATAGTTTTCGAAGCGTTTTCGAGGGGGGTTGAATAGGCTGATGCAAAGGGGTGATATAGAAGGTTATAATATTAGAAGAGGTATTCCGATTTCTCACCTGGCGTTTGCGGATGACTTGATGATCTTTATGAATGGATCTTCCAGGTCTATTAAACATTTTAATGATTTTTTACAGTCATACCAAGATGCTTCTGGTCAGCTGGTAAACAAAGATAAAAGTAGTTTTGTGATAGGCAAGCACACTACTTTGGGGATAATTCTATATGCTGAAAATGAGTTGGGAATGAAAAACTCTAAACTGCCAATTAAATACCTTGGGGTTCCGCTACACAAAGGTATAACTCGGCTTGCTCATTGTAAAGAATTACTGGAAACTTTTGATAAAAAGTTAGCTTGCTGGAAGTTGAAAATGTTGTTGCAAGGAGGCAGATTAATTTTGATAAAACATGTTCTCAATTCAGTCCCTTTTTACATGTGCTGATAGTGACTAATCTCCCTAAGGCAGTTGTTAACATGATTAATAGGAAGGTTGCAAATTTCTTTTGGGAAATCAGAGATCATAAACCAAAGTATCACTGGGCAAAATTTAAAAAGCTTTGCAAGCCTACTGGTAATGGTGGTTTGGGCATTAGATCCATAGCTGACACTCAAAAGATATCTTCCATGAAGTTATGGTGGGAGTTTCAGAAAGGTCAATCCATTTGGACTGATTTGATGCAAAGCAGATATAGTAAACGTCAATTGGGGGAAGAGAAGCCTACTGATTCCCCATCATGGAAAAGAATCTGCCTCATCAACGAAGAGGCAGAAAGTATGGTTGTCAGGGGTCCTAATTCGGTTACCTGGAAACATACAACTAAAGAGGGTTTTTCAACAAAATCTGCATATTTAGCACTTTGGCCGCAGGAGGGGAGGACTTTATCTAGCACACAGATATGGAATAACAAACAAGTGCCTAAAATAAAGGGTTTTTTATGGAGGTTGTGGCATAAGTGTCTACCATTCCCAGAACAGCTCGCTATCTTCTCGACCGCTTATCCCACCATTTGTCCTTTTTGTAAAACGGATAGTGTTTCTGAAGATCATATACTTCTTCTTTGTCCCTTAGCTCAATCAGTTTGGATTTTCTTTTCGAATACTCTGTTACAAGGAGGGAGGCCAGTTAATAGCATTAAGTTAGAGATTATGAAATGGTGGATTACCAAAGCTGGAGATATGATGGATGCAATATATGTGATGGTATTACCTGGAGTCATTACGTGGCATATGTGGAAGGCGTACTGGGAATCAGTCTGGAATGGATCAACCCATACAGTGGACAAATTGCTCAGACAAATTCAGAGGTTTATGTTAGCTTGGTGCTTTGCTAACGAGAATCTTAGAGGAAATGAGAGATTGAAGAACTTAGGACTAGTACCTACCTCTTTCCGTAGGAAGAAACCTCAAATTTTCAGGTGGGTGAAGCCGCATACTTCCCGGGTAAAGCTCAATTGGGCGATTTTCAGAAGTAATGACAAATCTTCAGCTGGGTTTTTGTTAAGAGACCATGCATGAGTTGTTGTGGCGGCAGAGGGATTCGCGTTGAGTGGCACAGTAAAGATGGAAGAAGAAGCGATGGTGAAGGCACTGGAATGGGGGGAGGCTCTTCAGTTTCCTGATTTGGAGATCGAGTCATCCTTCTCGAAGATGATCCAGGTGGGCCGCAAATATATGGACCGGTACACTGGATTACTCTGATATTCGTTGATTCCGGGCCCAACGAACCTAGCTGCGGAAATTGTAGCGAGATTGGGCCTTCATTGAATTTTTTATTGGAGGAAGGGAGATATTCTACCCAAAGAGTTAGGAGGTGCCATAAAATTAGATGCTTCAGTTGTTCCTTATATTTATTTATAGTTCCTTTATTTTTTGCTCTCTGACGGGCTTCATTTTGCTAAGGGTAAGATTTTATATCCCCCCTTGTGTAGTAAAAAAAATAATTAAAATATTAACACCCAATTCAAGAAAATTATACATCACATGTCCTAGATCTCCTAACACCCCCCCCCCAAATAATGTAGGGGTTAAAGGAGATTTTTATTCGATCTATTCTATGCCTTGGTAAAAGTATAATCACTTGTCCCATCAAAATTCAAAATCATACATCGGTGCTGCATATGCACGCACACAATTCAAGACTCTCTCTCTCATCACTTGAGGAGACTCTCTCATGGCTCTCTCCCAAGACTCTCTTTTTTAGGAATGAGGAGTGTCACCCCCTTTTGTTTTAGTGTCACCCCTATTTATACTAATCTTTTCAAGGTTTTCTAGAACTCTCTATGTACCACTACACTTCTAGAATATTCTAACAAATATCCACAAGCTTCTCTAACCTTCTAGAAGCATTTAGAAAACTTCAAAGTGTTTCAGAATGTTCTAGAGGCTTCCACACACTTTCGTACAATTCTGGAGAATTCCATACTTCTCTAGAAAAGTCCACAATGTTCTAGAATACTCTACACTCTTCTACACGCTTCTAGATAATTCCACGCTTCTCCAGAAAACTCCAGAATATTCTAGAACATTCAATATGTTTCTACACACTAGAAAATTTTGGACATCTTCACAGTATTCTAGAATTCTTATTAACTTGGGATGGAACCCAACAATTCTTTATTAACTTTTTAAATTAACAATAGGAAGAATGACAAAAATAATACTATTGCGTTTTGAATTTACAAAAATGAGACCAACTATTGATATGGACAAAAAAAGTGATCCATTTTAAACTAAAAGCCCATACTGCCTGCAGACATGTTTAGTCTCTCACTGTCGCCATCTAATTCATCTCTTCTTCTCGTTAATCGAACAACTATTCTGTTCGATTTCTGTTGGGCAGAGCGAACGACGATGGTGGTGGCTAGCCGATGCGGCTAGGTTTGGCTAGGTGACATACGGCAATGGCGAGCCGACGCCGGTGGACCGGTGATTGGCGGCTAAGGTTCACATATTTTGTCTATCTGAGGTGAAGTGCAAATCCACCGCCGAGATTCTGCTATCGCCGTCGCGAGCTTCTGCAACGCCGCCGCCGAGATTCTGCAATCACCGCTCTTCTTCTTTGTATCCAACGACGGGGAAGATCCACATTTGGAGGATCGCCGCCCAATCTGAAGCATCTCGATGGAGAGGTTATTTGGCGGCTAGGTTGCGGTGGGAGGAAGTTGAAGGCTGGAGCTAGGGTTACGACAGTGCCGGTGGGCTAAGGCTGGGGAGGTGGTTGGGGGCTGGGAGGGGGTAAGGAGGTGGCTGGTTGCTGGGAGGGGGCTGGAATGGGCATAAGGAGGTGGCTGGTGGCTGGTAGAGGTTGCAAAGGTGGCTGGAGAGTTGAGTCGAGGGCGGCAATAAGTGCTGGTCGTCGGCCGCTACCGCTGGGTAGTGTTAGCCGACCAGTGTTGGTCATTTGGCGAAGCAATTGTGGTTGAAGTTACTATGCATGGAGGTGTCACTGTGGCCTGAATAACCGTGGAGGCGTCACTGTGACGGCATGTGGCGGCACTGGTTGGGTACAACGGTAGTACTGGCCGAACAGTGTTGCTCACTAACTAGAGTAACTCTGACCGGAGATATTGTGGAGGTGTCAACGTGGCCGCCACCGATGTTCACTATTGGAATGTCACTGTAGCAGATCATGTAACTGTAGCATAGAATGCAAATTAGATGTAATTTAGTAATATCACTAATATAATTGTAATTAATACAACTGTAATATTGGTGACTATAATAATATTAGTCACTTTCGGCATGTAACTGAGGAAAATAACTGTGATAATTGTAATTGTGACATTTGTCACTGTAACAATGTAATTGTAGTGGGTACCATTTTTGGAAAATTTTTAAAATGGTCACTTTTTTGGAAATGAGTTCATTTTTAGTACTATTGGTGTCCTTATCCCTTAACAATATGCTCTTATGAAAAATAGAGTAAGTAATTATGTAGTTTTCTTGTGAGTAAAAGAGTATTTTACTACGTACCACTAGAGTTATTATTACAACAAAAGAGAAGGTTGGACCTAATTAATATCTTGGGCCTGAAACACTTGACTCAAAATGAACACTGCAGGTCCTCTCTCAGTTAACTTGAGATAGCTTTTCCCCCATGACCAACTGACCAAGAGAGGAATGACTGTGAGGCACCCAATCATCTCTCTATAACTCCAAAACGTAAAAAGAAGTGTGAAGGACATATTGGGCTGGTAAATAAACAATGAAAAAAGGAATGAAAAAAGGACATTCATTGTCACAAGTTTTATGCTCCGTAGTTAATATCATTAAGCTAAAGATCTGGCAGTCACATGGAGGGACCTCTCTTGCCTATTGGGGTATCCCCTAAACCTCGCAGGACACACCTAACCAAATAGGGAAATTGAAGAAAAAAAGAGTACTTCTTTTCGGTACTTGAATAGCAGAACAGAATATTAACCCTATGTTTAAGTGGGAAGTGGAACTACTTATAATTACCCCATAAGTAATTATGATATATATTGGTCTCAGTATTCTTAATTTTAATGAGAATTTGTGCGGTAAAATACTTCTAACATATTTCATGTTGATCACTGTTATAATGTATAAACTTGCTGAAATTGCTATTGACATTTCTCAATTGGTTGAATCTTTTGTTTCATAAGAATCTCAAATACTGAGTATATCTTGCTGAGAAAGAACTCTGGCATAAGGTCATTTTTTGGATACGGAACCTCTGTCTTGCTTTGCCGCAAAGTAGAGTGCATACTGATGAATAAACCAACGGCGGCAGATCTTGGAGGACCGCATCTTGAGACGCCTTCTTCCTCATCCGTCTGTTGCCGCAAGCACCTCAGTCACACGGCAAAGGATCTCAATCCCATTTTTTTTTCAAATTTGGTCTGGTCATTTGTTTCTCCCATGTTAAATTTACCAATGAGTGCCCTGTTAACTAAGAATTTGTACGAAGAAGATTGCGACATGTATGTATATAAAAGCTTGCACAAACTACGGAGGAGGTGAATTTTCCTCATCTTGTTTTCATTTACTGGTAATCAATGCAGATTAAGACAAGATAAACAAGTAAAATTCCTACTCCATTCCAATTCCAAATCAAGAAAAAGAATGAGACATATTTAGCAGAGAATGTTCATTATCATATGCGATTAAGAGATATGAGAGCAGGATAATAGAAAAGCTTTAAAAAATGACACATCAAATTCTTAATCAGGTTTGGGGAGGCCGGCTCGGCCCAAACGGATTCAGAGCGGCGGAGGAAGAAGAACCGCCGCCGGATAGGAGTTGAGCTAAAGCGCTCATAGCTCGAACTTGCATCTCTAGAGCAGCGATATAATCAGTGGCTTCTTCTAGAATCACCGGCAGCGGCTCCTTCCTGCACCCGGGAACCAACCGGCCGAGAACTCGGGCCTTTCTCTGTACTGTTGGCAAATTTTTCGTTTTCAGGCGGAGGATACTTATTCTAGATTTCTTCGGCGGCCGGCTGTTCCCGGAGACGGCCGGAGAAACTACTCGCTGCTTTTTACTGTGCTTCTTCATGAACTTCAGCCTCAGCCGATTCGTGAGGATGGCGCGGCTCCACCTGGTGCGACCTTTGGCGGCTACGGCCAAAACTCTATCCGCGACTTCGTGCACGGCTCTGCCGCCCTTGGCCCCCGGCGTCGAATTCGACCGCACCTGTCGGAGCGCTTTGAGCAGCTTGGAAGAGTAGACTTGTTGTTGAGCTTCGGATTTCCATTCGACGGCAGATTTGATGTTGTTCTCGTTCGGAGATTGAGAAGCCGGAATTTGGCTCCTCTTCTTCTTCCTCCGAGCCGCCGCCGCTCTACTTTCAGAGCCAATCACCGGATTAGAGATGATAGACGACGCCATCAACACTGTCGATCCGATCAATTGAATCAAAATCAACAATCCAATACGAGAGCGGACGAATTTGCGACCGCCGTAGATATAATGCACACTTACAAATGAATCGATGGCCTGTAGATTCCATTAAAATAGAAAGTAAAAAGTAGAAATTGTTAGAATCATAGAGATACCGAGATTTGAAAACAAACCAGAGAGAATCGATAATCAATCGAAGAGGGATTGATAAATATAAACACGATTATCGATTAATTAAGCACATCTGAATAGATCAGAGTCGTACTTGACGCGAAAGTACCTGATTGAACAAATTGCTTCGGAAATCTCTGTCTGGTTTCTGTATTGTGCTTATGCCTTCATCAGAAGATGTATGCGATAGAGAGAGGGAGAAGGAGGGGAGGGGTGGGTAGTACAGAGCAAGGGTTTACCGGCGGGGCATGGTGGAGATCGGTGGAGGCTATAAAAAGGGCGAGGGATGTATCATAGAAGGCGTTGGCCACTTTTAAAACGTGAGTGCAGATAGAAGATAAATAAATACTGTCCTATGTCATTAGACACTCCATTTCTTTTAGAGAAAATGACCTATATGGGAGTATATATAAAAAGTATAAATACAATAAAAAGTATAAATACAAGAGTTCAAAAATATGGAGTAGTTTGTTATGCTTTTATTTTTTAAATAAAAGTATAATACTGTGTGATCATGGAAGTTTACTCTATCTTGTGGCATTATTGGAATTTAAATATGTCAGTGTACTATCAAAAGTGACACTATTATTCAGTTCCAAACTAATTAGACTAGACTTACATATTTATAATAGTGAAATCATCATGTCAGGCCGGTCTGACCGGAAGAGTCGTCCGGCCGAGCCCTTTTGATAACCTTTCCTTTGGAATTTTTTGATGAATTTTTTTGAGCATATTCCTCATCAAGTCTAATTTGTTCATACCAAATTTCAGCTCAAAATTCGATCGAGAAGCCATTAAAATCATTTTTTGAAGTTGATTGCGTTTTTATATGTATATTTTGACGCAGTCAACTTCAAAAAATGATTTGAATGTCTTTCCGATTTAATTTTTAGCTGAAATTTGTTATGGACAAACTAGACTTGACGAGGAACATGCACAAAATTTTCATCAAAATATTCCACCGGGAAGGTCGCCAAAAGGGCTCGGCCGGACGGCTCTCCCGGTCAGGCCGACCTGATAAGAAGAGTTCTCTTTATAATATACACAAAGATCATACATTTAACAGACAAGATGAGACCAGTTCAAGGTTGACAGTAATTACTTGGTCTGTTTTCAAAATCAACCGTAATCACTCATATTTAGAGAGCAAAACACAGTACTCTTAGTTGTATCAAAATTTCAAAACGTCATCACTCGTAATTAGGGTAATTTCTTAAGAGGACGTTTGGGAACACTGTTTTTCGGTTTATCAGGCTTATCAACCAACTTTTTCACCAAACACGTGATTTTTGCTTTCGCGCACTGAATTGTGTAATAAGCAGAAAACGTAAGGTTAGAGTTACTTTTTTGGCTGTATTGGTTGAAGTTACTGTAACGGACCATTTTAGCTATTTTTACATATAATTTTTTCTTTAGTTTATTAATAAAATTTATTTTAAAATTGATTTTTTCTTAAATCAGCAGAATCAGCCTATGCAGCCACTTCAACCAGAATTTCATAAATTTCAGCAGAATCAACCAAAACAGCCGATTTTGAAGCTACCAAAAGGGCTCTAAGATAACATATATACATACTCCAACTTGTACGCTTTCATATTATTTTAGTCTTATTTTCCATATGTTTTCGTATTTAAGTTTCCACTTTGACACTTTCCATTTTGAGATGTCCCGTATTAAAGCTCACACTTTTATCAAAGGCAATGTTCATAAGGGAAAAGACATTTATATTCTCTAACATCTTTACTCTCATCCTACCCTATGTTAGACCACCAATACCATTTGTGTGTCGCTCCGTCTCTCCATCTCCTCTCCTTTCCTCGGCATTTGTTTGCCTTATCTCATCCGTTATTTTACCTTTACTACCATCGTCACGCCAACTAATGGATGAAAAATTGTATACTATCCAAATGTAGCAAAAACGTAGAACGCTTGTTGTGCTTACAGAGTTCAAAGATGAATATTCTCATTATCCTCATCTATGAATTGAGTTCAATTCATTCATTTGTCCATGTTGTGTTTGTTGCTTTTTGTCCATCCAAGTCTATCTTAGCTATGTGATACACCGGTGGGTGTAGCTCAACTGGTAGCGAGGGAGTGCCACAAGGGTTAGGTCTCGGGTTCGAATCCCGACAACTGCGATGAGGGGTTACTATGCTGAAAAATGTATAGGACTTCTGCAAGTACCGGGGACAGAGCCTCACTCTTTATATGTCAGATTGTGATTATAGTCCAATTTACATCCTCCCATCGTGTCGTCCGTTCGGTGTTGGGGGGCCCTCAGGGATGGAGTGTCATCCTTTTTTAGCTATGTGATACAATTATTGACTGACCTAGACATTTTTTAGTAATAACCGTTGCCTTTTCAACATTTTCCTCACAACATGTTCGAGCTTAAAATTGTTTCCACCATCGTACTTGAAGTTGTTTCCACTGGTGCGAGACAATACTTTTAACACACGACCTCTGCCCAAATCGGACTGTACAATAACGAAGTGCATAGATGAGCCTAACAAACCCTTAAACAAGATACTCTTAATCATTGGGGCTAAACGAATAGTCAAACTACAATTGGATCTGCCTCTGATACCATGTTTGGACCTGCAGTTCCATCCTAAAAGGTTAACCTAATATGAGGATAACCTAGAATCTCATATAGCATTTTAAGTTTTCGTTTTATAGCAATCCGGTTTGAGACAAGTATTTTAATGGATAAGGTAACGGTATCTATATTCCTCTTGGACTGGGTCAGAGTCGTTTATTATTGTTACTTCAAGCCATGGGCGGAGCTAAGGGTGGGCCAACCTAGGCCATGGCCCACCCCAAATTTAAAAAATGGCCTAATTTTTAAGGTAAAAAAATCGTGTAAATTTTTTTCAAAAAATATTCTTTGTACCTGTCCAGTCCGGCCCAATGCTCTGGCTCCGCCCCTGCTTCGAGCTCATATACTCTATCATGGGTCCAACACTAACAAATGAAAGTAAGAAAGAGGACGAAAAATATTAGAATAGCAGAAAATATCTAAAATTTGTATAGAGGAAGCAGAGGAAAACCCCGCCTCTATGGAGGAAATATTTTGCGCAAAAGTTTTTACAAAAATTAATTAACTTTGTTATAAATTAAAAATGGTAAAAGTATACAAGTGGAACACATCACAAGGTCATTTGGTTAATTCTATTACGTTTTATTTCATAATCCTCAATACACGACAAGTTTTATTTAAGATCAATATATTTATATTCAATGAACAGTTATGATATACACATGATAAGATATATTAATCCATTCCTTAAGTATTACAATCACATAGATTAAAGTGATATCAAATCATAAGAAGATATGAGCATCGTACAGTCGGTATAGCACTACAAACTACAGTTCACAACACAACAAAATGTGTGTCGTCCATATCTGTTTTTATTTTTTATTTTTTAAAGACAGAGTTTTACAATACCTTATCGTTGGTTAGTAGCTAATGGAAAAACTTACACTGTTATATGTCTTAAAATGAACATTTAAAGTATCCAGCCAAATAAATAAATGAATAAATTCAAGTGTACATTCACGACTAGAAGGGCATTTCTACGGTTCATGTACATTTTTTACTTTTCTAGCTTGAAACTATAGAGTTTTTAATACCTTGTTTTTACAACCACTTATCCATCAAAAACAAAATATCCATGAAGCTACGGGTACTAAAAGTCCTAAAATGAATGTTTAGAGTCATGCGACTAAATTAAAAGTGGAAATAATATTTAAAGTTTAAGTAGATAATTAACTTTATTTTTTAAGAGAAAGTAAAACATGAGTTCAAAAAAAAAACAGAGAAAGTAAAGCATAACAACGAACACCTAATTAGTGAGAAATACTAGAGCTTTTAATGAGCAAAAGCTATATTAAATTACTAGGGCCGAAAGTGATTAAAGCCAAATTAACCCGAGACAAGCAAAGTTGTCCTATAAGAGAGCTTTTATGTTATGCATATAAAAATTATACTCCGTATTCTTTTCTGTAAATCCACCTAAATCTAGCTCTATATATGTAAGTCAGTCTAAATAGACTGGCTAAGGCTACAATTTTATTACAAAAATCCGGCACATCTATTAAATTTTTTATATTGAGCCCAGCCCATCCCAACCATTAGTTTCGGGCTAGTGTGGCCTAGTCCAACCCGTTGACGGACCCTACTTCTATTTTATACTCCCTCCGTCCCGCAATAAACTTCACACGTTGACTTCGCACAAATTAAGAAAATAAATTTGACTTTACTGTGGAGTGCATTGTTTTGCATTGTTCAAACACTGTTTGATACTGTTTGGACACCTTTTGACACTGTTTGACATTGTTTTGATGTAGATAATTTGCCAAATAAGGAAAGTTTTGAAGTGTGAAGTTAATTTTGGGACTGCCCGAAAAGGAAAGTGTGAAGTTTATTGCAGGACGGAGGGAGTACATTCATTTTATCTAAGTTTTACTCATATTTATGAAATTTACTTACAATATCAACTTTCCACCTCTTGACCTCTTTATGGTGCATGTAAACATTAAAATACATTGATGCATTCTGACCATTTTAATTAAATTTAATATATGCTCACTCAACAATAACATGAAAGCTTAAAAAAAAAAACAATAATAAGAAACATAAATAGAGCACATGGCCCTAAAGGCACACTAAATACTGTTTACTACCAGTAGTTCAGCCGTATAAAATGAGTATTTATTTCTGTACCGTTTTGTATTTATTATTGGATTAGAGCTGTGAAAGTGGAGTAATGACAAATTAATTTGACAAACTTAGGGCCCACCATTTAGAAATCCGTTCGATCTTCATAGGGTCCGAGATGCATCGAAGAACATTACTCTCTTGTTTCTATTAACATGGCGGGGTCATGCAATTAATTAATTAAGATATTCTATGAATAAAGTTACTCCGTATATGTAAACGATAATGACACTTAATTTAATATTAGGCCTCAATTACTCTTATTAAAAGTCATCATCCCACTTTATGTTTTCAGTTTTTGGTGAATGAATAGTACTAGAGGTATAAATGAGGAAAAGAATATTAGGTATGTACAGATTTTATAACTGAGAATATGTAAATGCAAAGAGAAACATTAATTAGTCAACTTACATAGAGAAGTAAAGTTAAAGGAGTTGTAAATTATTCTACTAATTAAATTACATAGACTTTGCTTCGTAGGTCGATCAGGAGTGGGGTATTTTCACCTTTTTGGGAATATTTTCAAGTAACAGACTGTAAATCAATTAGGTGCATTTCCGAGATGTTTCCCGTAATAATGAAGCTAAGTAGGGATATTAAATTATTAATTAATAAAAACACATGACCCATTTGAAAATTTATGAAATTATGACTAAAATGATTGGATTACTTGATTTTGTTGAATTATGCAAAAATTACATTTAAAATATACTTCCACCGTCTCAAAATAATTGTCTTCTTTCCCCTTCTATCAATAATATATATGTGACTCTTATGGAGTCACATGAAGTGTTGTGGCATGATCTCTACCATTTATTTTTTTGTGGGTGTCCTCACTAAAGAAATAAATGATAGAGATCATGCCACAACATTCATACGACTCCATAAGAGAGTCACATGTGATTCTTTAAAAAGACAATCTAGCTTGAGGTACACATTTTCATACACACCTACACACTCATATTTGTGCATAGTATTTTTTTGTCTGTATACAGACATAACACATTTTCAAATACGTTATGTCTTTATACAGACAAATGAGACAAAAAATACTTTTCACAAACATAAGTGTGTAGGTGTGTGTATGAAAAATGTGTATCAATAGTTTTTTTGTTAAAAAGAACGCCTTTGATAGGTCTGTTAGCCGGGGATAGAGGCTATCAATTAAATAAGATTTTTTTCCAAAAATATTAATAGTAAAAAATTCATGGACAAAAATGTGACTATAAGTTACTATGTGTAAGTTTTAGTCACTTTGATCTAACATATGAATACAATTGTAGTCACTAAAGTTACCAGAGTCACATTTTTGTCCATCACTTTTATTTTGGTTACATATTTCGAATTATTTGATTAAATAATAACTCTTGTTGTACACAAAATTTATTCACATTTCACACAAATGTGTAAGTAATTATTTGTGTATATACCATTGATGCACGGGTGATCTCTATGCAAACACAACTAGGGTGTACAATTATGGAAAATGCGTGTGAAATTTGTACAAATATCGTGTACAAATGGATTTTTCTCAATTATATGCAAAAATTAATTCTTATTGCAGGTGTTCCCAATTGGCATGCAAAAACTTTAAATACTCCGTATAAAATAGAGTACATTGGAATTGGAAGAGATAACTCATGATTCAAAAAGAGGTGTTTATTTTTTTGATTTTGAGAAATGTAAAAATAAACAAATCGAACAAAATGACTTCGGTGACTCTAGATTAGGTTATTTTTGTACAGTTCGTTTCGATTTTAATTTGGTATGCTTCGTCGTGTTTCAGTTGCTTTTATTTGATCAGTTTAGTCGATTTTTTAGTACTCCGTATATGATTTGGCCGGTTTTTGTTAGTGTTTTCGATTGGTTTGCGACTTTGCGTGGAGGTCCTGGAGGACCTAGGGGAATGAGGGCCACGTGCCCTAACTTCCAAATCTGAAAAAGAGTATTACGTGATAGAATATCATACAAGTCTGCCCTGGTTCAATTAAGGGTGAAAAAAAGCAGAGAAACTAGTTAGGGCCCTGAAGCCCCTGATCAAAACATAGCATTTTAAAAAATAGGAACCTACGTTTGGTTTTATTTCTACCACTAATTTAATTAATCAAATAATTAACTTAATTAATTGCCCATTCCTAGTTCTCTTGCATAACTTAGATCGGTTAGTTGGTGGCGGATCAGTCCATGATGGCGACATCAAACACCGGTGACAACGACGGAAATCTGGCAGATTGTCAAAATAATTTGGGAAAATTTTTCTGGTGACAGCGGCCGGGGAATGATAGTCCGGTAGAAGGCGGAGGTTCGATAGTCTTGGGCAACACCTCTAACCCTATAGAGTACTTTATAAAAAATTAAACTACTTGATCCTATTTTTGAAAATGAATTTTACTACTATTTGAGTACTTCTCCCAAAGAAGTATCACTATAAAAAGCGTTAAATTCTCATATTCAACCATCATTAAGCCATTAAGGGTGGTATATTGCAAATTCAATTACTTTTGACTCCTACGCATCTATACGTTGTTCTCCTGTTTTTATTTTTTAAATATCCTTATTAAAATAATCAACCCAAACCATATATGTTGGGCCAACAGTTGACTTAAACGCCAATAACCATCATAGTGCAAAAACCGGTCCTAGGTAACTTCGGCGATGCTAGAATTGAAAATTTTCCCCTCCTATTTTATGCTTTACAAATTACAACACCCTACAATCCTACATAAAGTTGATAGTCAAAAATTTGTAGCCCTTAACACTATTGATGATATAGATTTATCAATAAGTGAGAGAGCCGACGCTTAGTCGAAGAAATGGAGGATTTTGAAGCGCAGTTATCTTCAAGAATTCATTTGAATGCCTTCCCGATTGAAATTTTAACTGAAATTTGGTATGAGTAAACTAGACTTCATGAATAAGATGCTCAAAAAAATTCATCAAAAAATTCCACCGGGAACCACTCCAAACGGCGACGACCGGACAGAGTCTCCTAAATAAGGGCTTATTTGAACTTTTTTTGTTAGTACATGAGCCTATTTGCATCTTTTCCCATTTTATATAAATAATTACATCACCCAAAAACGTATGACAATTGTAAGTGTACCGACGTCAATACTGACATCATTGACACGCTCCGTATATAGTATGTTAAATTAAGAAAATAGTAATAAAAATACGAATAAATAATATACATTTGCACATAATAATACTAGAGCGTTGTTTGTTTAAGACAAAAGTAATACAGACTGGATGTAGGAAATTAGTGTCACAAAGCATTAACCTATGGATTGGCGTCAACATAAAAATAACCCGTACAACTGTATTCATTACACAATTCCAAGTCTACTTTAGACTTTAAGCATAAGGATTAGCCGTATATATTATGCTGGTAATACAAGCACACTTTATTATATAAGAATAAAATTATGGGTGCTCCTTAAGATAGTGGTTAGTGAAGAAGTAAAAGAGAAGGTTGTCCTTTGGCCAGCAATGAAGAATAGAATATGCCAAAACTACATGATTATATTTTGGTGCATTAGAGAAAGGTTTCCAATAATCATTAAGCCTAATCAAAAGTCATACCAAAACTATGGGAGCCATGTGTGTTTCACATTTTCAGCTAATTTTATTCCTATTGGGTGCAAATATGATGTGGCCGTAATAATAGACTAATTTAAGACGGCCCATTATATATTTATATGCTGCAATTTGCTTTCTAGCTATATCCTAGGCGCTCCAAAATATCAGCAGGATAGGTCAACAATATTGGCAAGCAAGCATATAAATACATCATTACAATACAGCAATTTTGCTTTACTCATCTTCAAATTCTACAGGAAGAAAACTTAAGTGATATCAAGATGGCTGTTAGGACACATTTCACGTTCCAAGTGATTAAAAACAATTATTTTGGAGCACAGTAGTCATAGGAGAAATCAACACTTAAACATCCCAAATTTGCAACGTTTTGAAATTTAGTGTGGAAACTTTAAAGATTGCAATTATTTGTTTTAGGAAAAATGAACGCTTTGACGTCCAAACCTGGCGAGTATAGAAACTTTGGTGTGGAAATTTGTAATGATGGCAATTATTTGCGTTTGGAAAAATGAAGAGCAATTTACAAAAATATGAGAAACATAACACAATTCCTAATGAGTGCCATCTTTTTCTCCCTATAATATGATACATTCACTCCCCTTTTGAAACTTTTTATTGTTTGTATCATTTTTAATTTTTATTACTTTAATAAGATTAGCTACGTCCTGTTTTGAGATACCAGACCTTACGAGATCAAAGTGAAATATTCCAATCCAGCTGAAAGCACACTTAGCTACAAAATGGTGCTAACATGACATAAGCTATTGACATGCCATCTGAGATACAAGTAAAAGAACCTATTTGTAACTTAGGATGTTTTTACAAGTAAAATATCTGATTTGAACTGGTTTTATGTATATTTTCCTACTTCATATTATCTAACTCTGTCTTGTATGCTCTATTTACATCTATTCTTATCAAGTCCGGTTTGTTCTGAAGCTGAAATGATTCCAAGTGAAAACATGCATGTTTAGACACCAAATTGTCATTTTTATAATTCGTTACATAAAGTACTGTGGGCTGTCAATGAGCATGTTTAACTGTTTCGGTTCCTATTAATAAAACCACCATAAAAATACAACTTCTCAAATAAGCATAACCTTTTATACGAATGGCTAGTGAACAAAACAATGTGGCATTATAAATTCAAAATGCATGATTTATTTGGCATGGCTAGTAATACACACATATATTTGGAAGCAATATGTAGTAGAAGCATCTACATTCCCGCCTTGTCTTGAGCAGTTGAGCTTGTTTCTAAAACGTGTGTGGTCGTATGGATAAAGTTCAACTTAACTATTCGTACATATCCTTCTAGTTGCATCTACTAGAAATAGAGTGTTAGAGAATCTAGTTTTGTAAAAGAAACACATTAGTGAAATGGCAGTGTTTCTTGTACAAATCTTTGACTAAAAAACAATTACCCAAACTTATTAAGAAAGTCCAGCGGCTACAAGCACCACATATGAGCTCAACACTTTCAGAAAAAAGATATACTCCATAGAAGAAGCTGATGTTACAATATTTGTTGATAACTTCAAATTCGAGCAGCATTCAGAAGCACCGAAATATTCCATAATGCTTGGAAAGAGAGGCATTACTTACATTACTCTTGTAGCAATCTTGTAAAGTGTGAACAACTCAGGTAGGCAGGGCACCAAGGAAGTGTTGTGTTCCACTTGAACTGTGTACTGAGATGAGGAGAACAGCTAGAATGACAATGACGAGCGCCAGTGATGTTAGTAAACGTACCTTCAGAATAAAGGACTGAGAGCATATTTTATCTACAGTCGAACCACAGAATTGTCGCAGTGCAATATCAATTATAGCATCCATAAGTTTCTTAGACTGCAGATCAACATCAAGGGAATTCATGACCTCAATTCGTGCCTGTTGTAGATGCTTAATTGCTATTTCTGTCTCAACACTAGTCTTTTCTTCAGCATTCATGAACAGGTACTTTGAGGGACTGCTTGTTGTGTACACTTCAGAAGCAATTCCAGATGATACGGAGGTAAGGTCAGAGAGGAAACTATTCTCAGATGAAGTGGAAGCTTCTGAGTGCAATGGAAAGACAAAACTCTGGACAAGAATCAATAATAAACCCCAATTAGCTCTTTGAGCAAAGGTGCTGAACAATATTTAGCTAATGATATTTAATTTTCTTGAGATTGAAAAGTGCTGAAATATATTGAGAGGTCCAAATACAGTTAGCTTTTTTTGCTTAATCGTAGACCTGAGATAATCATTAGCTCAAGTCTGTTACTGAAATGTATCACAAAGCAACACAGTACATCAGTACACCATCACAAACTGTGATGAACGAGGAGAGGAAAGTAAAGAAGTAAAATTGAAATAGACTTGAGACTTTATATGTATATTAACTATAACAGACCTGCAGAAACAACCATACATACTACATAGTATATTTCTAAGAATACTAAATGCAATAAAGCAGTTGTAACATTCTGCACCAATATATACTTCAACAAAAGTTTACTATAACCCCTAGACACCGCAGCAGGTACACATCTGAACTAGAAACAGAGAACTGAATTTCGAAACTACCTCAGCTTCAGTATACTTAAAATCGTCCACAACCTCTGAAACAAGAGACTGATCAACGGAGTCATTTGGCGATTCTGGAAATGCAGCAACTTCCAGAAGCGCTTCGAACTCAGAACTTAAGTTCTTCTTGGCATTCTGCGATATATATACAAAATCGATCAAGTTATGAACATGCGCGTCATGTATACGAACAAGCTTGTAAATATGCCGATGAGAATACGCTCGAGAACGATACATACTTTCAGAGCTTTCTTAGAGTGATCGGAAGTGGATTTCGATTTGCGGTTGGCGAGAGGGAGATCCTTCTGTGGAGTTTGAAGATGGTTGTCCTTCATTTCTCAGTTTTGTGGTGGAGGAAGATTTGAATTTCGGATCATGATGGAGGGAAAGAGAGGATTTTAGTTAGCAGATCTTCTGGAGTTTTACAGGAAGAAAAATAAGTTTGGGCTACTGAAAAGCATTTGTGATGGGTTAAGCGTAAAAAGTCTGGCCCAATTAGACCGAGACCAAGCCCAAATCACACTCACAGGCCTTAGGGGAGTTAGGACTTAGGAGGTGTCAATGAATAAGAAAATAGTTAGGTCATCTCCAACAGTTTACACCATTTTTTACACTAAAATGGTGTAAAGATCACATCAAATAGTATTTTATTTCTAACAGTTTACACCATTTTCACCACTAAAAAGAATATTCTCTTTTTATTCTTTTTACTAACTTTTTACCATTCTTCTATTTAAGTATCTAATTATCGTATATTTATACATTAGTCCCTCATTTAATATTTTGACATTTCACACATTATTTCACACATACAAACTAAAATACACCATTTTAATATGTATTTTCACGCATTTCACTAATTAAAATACAATAATTAATATTTCACAAATACAAGCTAAAACCACAAGGAGGATCATCAGCTGGATTTGAGAATCTATTTGATGGTCTTGGAGAATCTGGAAGCGGGTTGAATGACTACTAATTTCTAAATTAGTATGTACTATATACGTAGTATGTTTTTCATTATGTTTTAATTTTAATTATTATGGTTTTATTAATTGTAATTTTAATCATGCTATTTTCTTAAGTACCATTTGTATTCTGTTATTATGTTGTTTGGATTTGAAATTTTATTTATAATATTGTGTGATTTAAATTTTATCATATTTTTTTCTATCAAATTACAATTTTAATTTGTTGTTCTATAAGGATGTTTTTACTTGGACTGTAATTTGTCTCAGATCAGATCAAACCGGATTAGACCACACTTGGGTAGTTATAAAAATACAAATAAATCAGACCAGACCACATCAGTTGAGACCAAACCAGACCAAATCAGACCAGATTAGACTAGAGCAGACAAACGAATTTCAGTCCAAGTAAAACATCCTAATTTGTTGTTTTAAAAATTGGTCAAAACTATAATATTCAAAACTTTGGGTCACATTTGAAAGAAAAAAAAAATACAAAAAGTAGATGGTGCTAGATTTGGTGTACGCCATATTTGGTGTAAAGTCATTCCCTCTTCCCCAAAATGGTGTAATGGTGCAAAGAATGGTGTGATTGTTGGAGCATTTTTTTGTCAAATCCACCATTTTGGTGTTGAATTTGGTACTTGTTGGAGTTGCTCTTAGAAAGAGAGATGTGTGAGTAGTAATGTATTCCACCGAGTTATAGGTCTTCCCATGAAACCATGAGAATAAATCTAAGCTAATTTTTTTTAAAGAAAAACTGAGCTATTTTAATTAGATCAATTTTTTAAAGAAGTGGGCGATATGGGATTTAGTTTCAATCATATCAATTAAACGTTGTCGATTGTAATTACAAATCTCCCAAAGTGGCTGTTTTGAGGTCGGTTGTCACAATAAACCTTAGGCGGCAATGTCTTTTTCCGATTAGTAGTCACAGAGTGATGATAATTGACAATCATCATTAACATCTTTCGTAGAAGGTAACGTGACATCCGCTTTCATAGATTCTTGGTAAGGGTATCAGGCTATGAAGCATGGATACTTCACTGGGGTGCCGTATCGGAAACGTTATCGTATCCGATACCTTAGGATACCCGTACCGTACGTTATGGGGCCGTATCTGCAATTTTTAAAAGTTTCCATTTTTGGTAATTATTTTAAAATCTCGGATACACGTATCAACTTTAAAAAAATCTTCCAAATTCTAAAAAAAAAAACAGTCAAAATTTACATAATAAAATTCTTAAAATTGAAAAGGTAAAATGATTTTTACTTTGCTTTTATGTGGTATACAACTAATGGGCACATTCCTAATTCACCCATCCTCCTATCTCTATTTCTAATTATCCTCGGAAATTAATAGCTCCAACAGAAATATGTATTAGAAATTTTAAAATATTGTTTTCTATCTTCATTATTCTAGAACTTTGAGTACTTGCACTTTTAATTTCAAAACTGTAGTTGTTGACTTATTTCTCATTATAAATTAATGATTTATTGACTATATTTATATTTTAAGATGCACTGGTGTATATGAGATAAATATTAATTTATTTCTAAGTATCTTAAAAATGTAAAACACTTCATTGCCCTGAATGGGTAGACGTCACATGATAATATGTGTATTTTTTAGTAAAAAAAACTATTTTTAATATTTATAAATACACCCCTATAACTTTTAATATTTATAAATACACCCCCATAACTTTTAATATTTATAAATATGGCCCCGTATCCGTATCCTACTTTTTTTGGTTTTGTCGAATCCCCGTACCCGTTTCCGCGTTTCAGCGTACCCGTATCGGTGCTACATGGGTATCCGGTATGACCCAACTTGACTATTCTTCTTTTGTGGTCGTATTTTTATCTTTTATGGTGGTTCTTTCCCGGGCTCTGGTGCTCCGGTGTGTTTTGTCTCCCTCGATGTGGGAAGTTGCTTTGGTGTCCTGATCATCTTCGTCTGGTTAGGGATTTTTGTCTGCCTTCTACTAGAACGAAGAATTTAGTATCCACTCGTATTGAAGCAGCTCGTCCTCCTCCATAATCACCTCTGTGTCAAGAAAAGTTTTGTGGAAATGCTTTATTCCAGTGTTATTTTTATTTTAGTAGTACTTGTTTTTGTTCAAGTAGGTTTGGTTTGGATATCCATTTGGAATACTTTTGATATGCAATGTTTTGGTTCTAATCGTTTTAGGCTTAAAATTGCCGTTTCATGTCTAGCGAGTCAGGTTTCTTTGTATGAGGTGGATGACTTTATGTCTATATCTAGGGTTGACGATAGGATCTGTAACAACTGTACGGAAGTTGTCTTGTATGCTTTCTCAAATTTTTTATAAAAGACGCTCTTTTATATTCAAAAAAAGAAGTGGGCGATATAATATTAAATAATGTAAACTTTAAAGTGTAACATTTATTAATAAAAATTTGAGAAAAGGGACAAATAAGTCCTCGAACTATTTACAATTCTGCATTAAAGCTAATGAATTGGAAGACTTGCAAATACATTCCTCAACTCATTAAAAATTAGTCAATCAGATTTTTTTATCTGTTGATGCAGGTAAGGAAGGAGATAACTCTCTCATGAGAAATTACTGGCACTAACAGGTAAAAGGAACTCGATGGTGTGATTCAATGAGTTGATGAGTGTATTTGCAAGTAATCCGGCTCAGGGACCTAATTGTAGAATTGCAAATAGTTCGAAGACTTATTTGCCCCATAATATAAGCTTTAGCATCCGCAATATATATATATATATATATATATATATATATATATATGCATAAAAATAGTTTGTTTTGACTATTAATTGCTAAATAGTCTCGTTTTGGCCACACTATCACACTATTATATTAGTAGTTGTGTATAAAGTGAATACTCTTTATCACTCCGGTTATATGTGTGTATAATACTACTCTCTTCGTTCTGCTGAGATTGTCGCATACCAAATTTGGTAAAGTATGTGTGGCTCTAAATCATTTTTACTTTATTCTTACTTTATCAATTCAATATCAAACACAATTTTTTTATAATTGTGTCACTCCTTCTCGACCCAATGTTAGTGGAACGAGGATAGTGCGTAGTATTATTTATAAGTAGTATTCAACATCTTTCTAGAAATTATTAATTTATACACACATATAAATGAGAGTATTCACTTTATGCGGTGCGATAGGCCAGGAAATGATTACCGGTGAAGATAGAAATGTAGTTTTACGGGGCGGACTTGAGAACATTACATTGTTGTTGAAATCTCACACCGATAAATTAAGCAGTAATAAAGTGCTATATTAAGATTTTAGGTTACCCCTCCTATGAGTAATAAAGTGCTATATTAAGATTTGAGGTTACCCCTCTTAACATGGGAACAGAGCCAAATCGATCCACAACTATGTTGTGGGCCCCCTTATGAAAATGACGACAAGATTATAAAAACCGACAATGACAATGACAATGACAATGATGAACTGACAAAAAATGAATGGCGACACGATCTAGATGAAGTGTCTAATCGTGTGAGGAAGAGTGTCGAAGTCCCACACTGGTAAATTAAGCAGTAATGAAGCGCTATATTAAGATTTTAGACTAATCCTCATATAAAATTGATATTTTAGGATGAAACCTAAATCTTAACAACAGTGGAGACCAAAACTTAGAAATATTTATATACTACAAATTATAAATATTTATACATGGATATATATATGTATAAGATTTTTTTCCTCGGGAGTCATGGCCCCCTCCTACCCCTCTGTGTCACCGTCACTTGGCCATTTGGCTGAATTTGATTTTAGTCCAGAGTCGGTTCAAATGAAATATAATTGAAAAGATAATTTTCCTCACATAAACACCATGCTTAATTAAGTAGTTAAGTGTACGTACTATTATACTATCCTCCTTTTTTTAGTTGCAACATGTTGAATTTTACATTATTCACATGTTCTACTTTGATTACGTTTTATTTAATAACTTATACGAATAGAGAATAAGATATGTTGACGGTCAAAGACGTGCGTAGACAAATGTGCAAAGTTGACTGTTGTAACTAAAAAAGATAAAATTCAATATTACAAATGATTCCATATAAGATAAAATCCTAATTCCTAGACATTGGTAAAATGCATTTCCTTAAGATATACGGAGTAGCTATTTGTTGACAAGAGCTGAGTCAGCCATTGCCCAAAATAGTGAGAAAAAAAACGCAGTCATAACGCTATACGTACAGAGACACATCACAAGGATGTACGTGCATCGGTGCATAGCTTAATTCGAGGAAGCTTTTCTAATTTTAGGGTTTGTTTGCAAATGCTTGTGCTTAAATAAAAGCACTTTTTAGAAAAAAGTGATTAGTAGTAAAAGTTAGTAGTGTTTGGTAAAATAAATGCTTTTTGTGTAATAGAAAAAGTAAAAAGTAGATTCTACACGAAAACCGAGAAAGTA